GTGGATCTCCCGGTAGAAGTTCAACTCCTGGAAATTTAGATGAGGAAAGTGTCATCTCTAAAAGGACGTCAACGACAAAGTTAAACAAGAATGGAGAGAGTGGACAGCCCTGACGAACACCACTTGAGATAATCAGTTCTGATGAGAGTTCGCCATAAGCTCTCACTCGACCAGTTGTGTTCGAGTAGAGAGCCTTTACAAGGTTGATGTACTTCTTTGGTACTCCCTTCAGTGACAAACACTGCCATAGAACCTCACGATCAACAGAGTCAAATGCCGCCTTAAGGTCGAGAAATACTACGATTGTGGGGCGTCTGAATGTGTGTCTATGTTCTAGGACCTAACGTAGTGTGAATATCTGATTTGTACAACCACGTCCAGGTCGAAATCAAGCCTGGTTTTCTCTAGTCTGCTCTTCACGAGCTTTAGTTAGGCGTCGAAGTAATATTGAAGCTAATATTTTAGACACTATATTAGTCAAACTAATTCCTCTGTGATTGTCACAGAAGGACTTTTGTCCTTTCTTATGGACTGGCACAATCAGTGATTGAGACCAGTCAGATGGGATTACGTCCAGTTCCCAGATTCTACGCAAAACCTCAGTCAATCTCGCTGCTAATACTGGACCACCATCCTTAAAAATCTCAGGGGTAAACCTGTCAGGGCCTGTTGCTCTCCCACGCTTTAGATTACCTTTAGCTTTTTCAACTTCGTAAAGAGTTGGAAGACCTACATCAACTTGCCATTCAGGTAGATTGGAGATCGTGGGAAACCGAAGTGTTGCTGAAGGCCAGTTGAACTGATCCCTAAAGTGTTCTGCCCATCGATCCAATCTCCTGGATTGAGAATGAATAACATGTCCATCCTTCTCTGAGATCGTTTCGCTAACAGTTGGGTTCCTAATACCGGTTTCCTTGACAGGTTTGAACAGTTGTCTATTGCCACTGCCTTTTCCATCTCTTGCTTTCGCTGCCCACCACTGTTCACGATTATTGAGTAGGCTTCTAGTCAGCTTACGCTTAAGCTGACTTCGTTCTTCGTTATGTTCAGAGCCAGATGGAATGAGTTTTCGAGCATCTATCAGTGCGGTAGATGCGGCTGAGCTCCAGTGTTTCTCCCTAACCTTGTGGTTTATCGTATTTGAGGACATCACTGCTGTTTCTACAGCTTTTCGGATGTAATTCCACCCTGCCTCGGGGTGGGCATCACTTACATGGCTGCCTAACTGTTTTTCTAGTTGTTCCTGAAATATACTCTTAGCTTGACTATCATTAAGTAGGACCCTAAGGGGTTTCCTTGCAGCATGTTTCCTACGTCCAGTAAGACGTAGACAAATACGCGCTCGCACTAGAGCGTGATCTGAGTCTATGCATGTGCCCCAGAATGAGCGACAGTCTTCTATCGAGCCCCTCCATCGGTGGCTGATAGCGATGTGATCTATTTGGGTCCAGCGTTGGGACGAATTAGGGGTTCGCCATGTTAAAAGATGTTTTCCTTATGCTTAAAGTTAGTGTTTGCAAGAAACAGGCGGTTATCTGAGCATAGCTGCAACAGACGGTCGCCGTTATCTGTTCTTTGAGCCGCGACACCATAAGACCCACCCAGGTATCTTTCCCTTTCGCTTAGTTTACCTACTTGAGCATTAAAGTCCCCAGCCACTATTACTACATCTGAACGCCTAGATTTTCGGAGAAGGTCGGAAAGCTTTCTGTAAAACTCATCTTTTACATCATCTGAGCTGCAGTTAGTGGGAGAGTAGGCAGAGACGACGAAGAGGCAACGACGAGTGTCCCTATCTTTTCGAGTCCTTACTGTTCCGTTTAGTCGGACAGCGTACAAACGACTGTCTACTGGGATCCAGTCTAAGAGAGCTAGTTCTGCCCTAGGACTCAATGCTATACCTACGCCAGCGAGGCCACGGGAAGCAGCATCAGGGCTTCCAGATACACGAAGCGTAAATCGAGTTGGTTCGTTACTTTGACATGGTGAGGTCTAATGAATGACACTACTAGGATCCTGTGTGCGCGTTTCGGAGACGCAGCACACATCGATGGAGCGAGATTCTAAAGTCCTAGCTAAGGAAGCCTGTTGTCCTATTTGGCACAGTGTTCGGACGTTGAAAGCTCCTACGTGTAGTTTAGAGCGTGGTTTCAGGAGACCAGGAATAACATTCCGCGTACTCGAATCGTTTGCACTAGCGGGGCGAGGTGATAAAGGGACGTGAGAAGGGTTGGTCGTGGAGATAAGAGAGTTATTAGGAGGTGTAGGAAGGATTTGAATGTGACCAACTTGGTCTCGTGTGCTGTTACGGGTATCAGGGATGATGTCACTTCCCGGCTGCCCACATCGTGGAATGGTATTTCTTGAGGGACCTGAAAAAGAAATCGGATTAGTGTTGGTCTTAGCGACCTGAGTGCGTGACCGCAGAGCCCAAAGGACAACTGCTTGAGGCCGGTCGCGCACGGCCTTTTTGTGGGAGGTTTTTAATGTGTTAGCTCCGTTCTTCAAAGGGCCTTGCCGCCGGAGACGGAAATCCGTGGGGTAAGGTGAGGTGTGACATTTTTAGGGCCAACCTTTTCTAACCCCTTCCTTCCTTGTGAGAAGGCAGCATCGCTGCAGATGCTGATTGTCCGAGGGAAACACCTTACTGCTGTAACAGCTCTGTACGGTCAGCAGTACGACTTCGCCCTCAGATCTCCACGCTTCAGCTCCGTACTGTAGGACTGTCTTGACGTTCGTATTTAAGATTCTGACTTTGATATTGGTTGACAGTTGTTTTGAGTTCTATATATACTTCAGTTGTAGGAATGCGTCTACTGCGTCTTTCATCCGGTTCAGCAACACTGTCAAAGACTCCCTGGTACTGACAGTACTGTGATGCCTCTGTAGTTTTTACATTAGCACCGATCTTTCTTTAGAATCTTGATGAGGTGTCCTTTTTTCTAATCCGTCCACTTTTGTTCTAACTCCTAAATCTTCTTTAATAGAAGGTAAAGCATGTTTGTAGTTACTTCAGTGTCTGACTTCAGTGCTTCAGCTGGTATATTGTCAGGTCATGCTGCTTTCCCGCTCTTGATTTGTCTAATGGCTGTCTTGATTTCTTCGGTTGTTGGTGGAGTGACAGCTATAGGAAGGTCTGTGTGTGTTGCTTTGATGTAGGGTGGACTCAATGGAGCTGGTCTGTTCAAGAGTTCCTCAAAGTACTCTGCTCACCTGTTCGTCTGTTCTTCAATTTCGGTGATTGGCCTGCCTTGTTGTGCATGACCGGTCTCACTGGTTTACTATATCTCCCTGCATGTTTCTTTGTTGTGTCATATATTTGATTCATATTTCCTTCTCTTGCAGATTTTTCCTCCGTCGTTGCTAGTTTTTCTACGTATTTCTGCTTGTTGGCTTTAATGCTCTTCACGTGTTTGTTTGCTTCTGTGTACTCAGCTTTTGCTTTGACGTTCTCTGTTCGTGTTCGACTGTTGTTAATTGCTGTATTCTTGTTCTTCCATTCTTGAATCCTGTTCAGGGTTTTCGTAGAGATCCATTTCTTATGACGATGCTTGTTGCGGCCCAGCACCTCCTGATACGTTGAAGTTAATGCTTCTTTGATCCCTTTCCAGTGGTCCTCCATAGTAGTTTCTTCTTTCAGTATATCGTGTAAGGCTTGGAACCTGTTGTGAAGAGTTATTTTGAATTCGTTGAGCTTGTTAGTATCTCAAAGGAAGGAAGGCTGTATTAAACCTTTGTAATGCTGTTCCCCCATTGTAAAGTGTTTCTTTAGCTTCAGTTTCATCCTGGACACAACCAGGTGATGATCTGAAGCTATGTCAGCTTCTTTCCTGATTCTCACACCTTCCAGTGTCCTTCGGAATTTTTTGTTGATGCACATATGATCTATTTGGTTCTCTGTGGTGTGGTCCAGTGAGATCCATGTAGCTTTGTGTATACCTTTGTGTGAAAATATTGTGCCGCCTATGACCAATTTGTTGAATGAACATAGACTTGCAAATCTTTCCCCGTTCTCGTTTCTCTCTTCCAGTTCATGTCGTCTCATGATATCTTCATATCCAGTGTTGTCCATTCCGACCTTGGTTTTTAGTTATCCCATCAGAATGGTGAGGTCCTTTCTTGGGCACTTCGTTGTGATTGATTACAGCCTCTCATAGAACTGATCTTTATTGTCGTCGTTACTATCATTGGTGGGTGCATAACATTGGATAGCATTCATTGTGATCCCCTCCTTTGTTTCGCATGATGCTTTGATAATTCTGGATCTGTGAGATTCCCATCCTACAAGTGCATTTCGTGTTTCTCTGGACAGCATTAGAGCAACTCCCTGAGTGTGTGGGACATTTTCCTCTCCGTGACTGGAGTACAGCAGCATCTCTCCCGTATTTAGCCTTTCCTTTCCAGCTTGGGTTCAATGGGTTTCATGATTCCAAGTACTACCAAGTTGTATCCCCTCATTTCCGTTGTTATTTGACTGGTCCTCACGGTCTCCCACATTGTCCGGACATTCCATATACCTATAAATGTTGTTACTCTGGTTGTTAGAAGGAGCATCGGCCTCGCGACTCCCGAAGGAACTCGGCTTTCACCATGAGGCATCATAACTTTTCTAAATGAAGACCTTCTGATCCCCAGGGTAAAGTTTAAATGATTTGAAATAATTTTTCTGGTTAGCGTTTTTTAACGAGTTAGTTTTCTACGGGATGGGGTCGCTAACCCCATGCCAAACCCTTCTTTATCCGGACTTAAGACCGGCAGTAACTCTAGAAGAACTACAGGCGGAGTTAGTAAGCTTTACTATGGTGCGAAATTGAATAATAAGTTTGTGATTAGTCTACGTATTTTCCAACCCTTAACACTAAATTAAGGATCCTTCCAAATTTACGTTTCCCCTTATTTCTAGCATTTTTAACCGCACGTAAATATTTAGTAGGTTTGCATTTCATTTTTCTATATTTGCTTATTCGTTACTGCCTTTGTTATTATTTTTAACTCGATAGGAGTTCTCAGACGTGTCAACAAAACCAAGTTCCTGTTATTTTGGATCTTCACCTCGTTTTTCAGAGCTATATTTATTATCATGTAGCTTATCTCAGGTATCTCTGCCATGTTTGCCTTACCGAATCATGGGTCCTGAGGGTTCACGTCCATCTATGCACCATACTCCTTTCCCTGGTGGTCACGATTTCCAAAGTGTTTCTGCGATTCGTCATCTGGGCGGAACGTGCGAATACTGTAGGCTCTTAATTCGTGGTCCGGCTGGTAAAATATTACGTTGTCGGGCATGTGGTGTTATGTGTCATTTTGATGGATGTCTTAATAGCCTAACACGTCGGTGTCCAGGTGCATTACTTTTTCCCAGTACTAATACTAAACACCATATGGGATGTCGGCGTTTGCGAACGGAAAGTGAAAGCGGCACTCATACTAATCCAAAGTTCCATCTTACTGGAGTTACTTTATTTGATACTAGACGTCGTATTTCTTTTAAACATTTGGAAGTTTCCAACTTATCTTTTCTTTCGGCAGATCTAACTTTACAATCATGGACTTGTGCAGAATGTTTGAGATCTATTGATTCCACACCATCAAATACGGTTTTACCAGGACGTTTGAATACACATAATCTGGGTAAAACGATCAATGAGGTCATTGAAAGAGGTATTGGTGTACTCATTGGAAAAGCTTTTGAAGATATATTACCAAAACACAACTCTATGGATTACGTGTCGTCTCACCTAAGTTCTAAACAATTGTCTTTGCCTACCTGTTTATTGAAACCCATTTCTACAGGACCAGCTGTAGTAAGATCCAATCAATCAACTGATAACTTTAAACAATATGCTGCTTTTGCTTCTCATAGCACTTCTGAACCAATCCAAACATGGTATGATGTGTGTGTTATGGAGGCATTTAGAAAAGTCGGTCGTCGGGTTTCATCATCCTTATTTATTAAAACGCAAAACGGACAATTAGCAATAGATAAGCAAGCAAGCGAGCTAAATGTATTAGAGAATTATGCTGCAGACACGTCATGCACTATGGATTCTGCTCGTTTATGCTACTATTCGGGATACTTTTATTGTTCTAGGTGTCATTGGGGAGATACTTACCAAATTCCAGCTTGGATGTTTGTTCTGGGTGATTATGAACCTAAACCGGTAAGTCTCTTCGTATTCTTAGATTTGAATCAATTTGGTCGGACAAAGTTGCTTGAAAAACAAGAAAGTGCTTATGAAATTTGTTTTATTAGTGTTTATGATTTTAATAACTTTCCAAAAACAATATTTTCGCAGTCGTGTGTAATTTCATCAGGTAAATAGTATCATCTGCTGTAGATTGGTTGCATACACATATCTTTTCACTCCTAACCATTTCGTGACCTTTAGGCTTGCAGTACTTGAGGCTTCTCATTCTTCATTTTAAATTTTGCTAATAGTTTTATTACTCAAGTAAATAAATATATATTATTCACACAGTCCTGAGTTAGTTAAGTTGCATTTAGATCTATTTTAAACCTCTCACTATAATTATTTGATGCGTGTTAAATAATCAAAATGATAATATCACGATTTCAACGCTTACTAAAATATCTGTAACATTGTTTCATCCGTCAGTAAAACGATGGTTTCTTTATATGTAAGCGGTTAACAGTCTTTTTGTACTCCCACAAGAATTGTGGTTCTGCTCGTGAGTCTAATGACAAGACAATCGTTACCCTGTGAGCACAATCTTTCTTTTTATTAAACATTACTTCTAATCCACTCATTTTAAGTGCATAGGTCGCTTGTTTTTACTTTTCATATGTAAAGAAAACGTCTTAAAGGATAATAAGTTACTGTAAATGGTTCTCAACTTTTATATAGGTATGTCGAACCGCATACTTGTGGCTAAATTATGCTTGGTCACGCCATTTATTCCGCGTTCCTGTATCATGGTATTATCATGAACCGTTGGCCAGACAAGTATGTTCTATTCGTACAAGGATTTTCAGACTACAACCATACTTCAATATATGTTCAAATGCAAAACTCTGCAGTTTAGATTTTGAAGTAAGAATATATATTTTTGCGCAAATTGAGAATTCTTACTTAGATACTAAGTAACAACTTCAGTGAAGAAGTATTTCCTTTTAATTCACTTTCAGTCGTGATTCGATACCAATTTATTCATTTTTATAATTGATGATGACACTTGTACAAATAAACTGGTGGCAAGTTTGTTAACAATGCAAGAGAAATTTCAGAATTATCTATAGCACGAAGAGTGATTATCCGAATCTCCGCGAAATAGCAATTTATATACTCTTTATTAGTTAATAAATACATAAATGGACAACCCGTCTGTCACTAAATAATGTATAGGGTGGTTTTATGTGACATTTAATTTATCTTGAGGGTTGTAATAAGTTTTTATTGTCCTAAATCAGAGTACTTTCGTTACCAAAACCCACTCATTTCATAAGCCAGTATATGTTTAGGTATTTCATTAGGTCGTATATACGACTACGCACAATTTTTGGAATATTTGTATAAAGTTTCGATGAGAGGTTGAAAATCAATCTCAAACCTCGTAAATGAAATCCCTATTCTAAACTGCTTATATCTACAGTGTTCGTTATTCAATACTTCAGTAATGATTTACTTTGGTTGTAAACTTACTTCAAGTAAACAGGGAGGAGTTCTTATCAATTTATGTTTTGGGAAGAATTATTTCTTGTAATTTCGCTTTTGCAGAGTATCATTTTCAGTTTATATAGTGGGACAATGACAAGTCTTGCGATTTTGAACGCTATACTCGATTCCTAAACTATTCTTGAAACCCCCAAGCTAGAACTATACAGCGACCTGAACACGAGGGAGAAGGCGTAAAGTATGCGAAAAGTACTTTACTTCAAGGTTCATTTTAATACAGAAAACAGAGGGTTTTCATAAGGCGAGACTCTAATTTAGGGACGAGCCAATCAGAAGCGTGTGAGCCGTTTCAAGGTCACGGAGCCAAGTTTAACACTTGATGCTCATATATGATCGGTTTACAGCGGATTTTAGTGAAGACGTGATTATTGAGAGGCTACAAGGGATGGGATTACTAAAACGTTCTTGTACGTGAGACTGCGGTTATCATATGACCGCAGTAAAGTGTGCAAACCACCGTGGTGAGATTATATTGCGTTGTCCTTCATGTTGGAGGAGAAAGTCTGCTAAAACGAGGACTTTCTTTGCTCGATTGCTACTGAAACTGAATCAGATTATGATAATAGTTGCAAATTGGGTAATAAATACACCAGTAACACTGGATGCGGCGTTTGCAGTTGTTTATGAAACTTCAGCAGTCCAGTGGTATAAGTACTGCCGTGACATATGTGCAACTAAAATAACACGTATACACCAATCATTCGGAGGAGTAGGATGTATCGTGCAGACAGATGAAACGGCAGTGAGAAAGCGAAAATACAACAGGGGACGTAGTATAAAGTAGGATTGTGTAAGTAGCATTTCCGTGAATATACTCGACAGGTACTTGGAATTTATGACTTTTTATACCGTATGAAATATGATTTCAAAACATCTGAAACTTTAGCAAACCTTGATAAGTTTTTAAATCACGTGAAATAAGTATATTCACTGTAATCCATTAGTTTCTTCTAATATATTTCTACGTTATACTAGCTGTCTTCTGATTGGCTAATATTCTCAAGGTCACTCAAAATTCGTTCAAAGGTCGTCCCTAAATTAGAGTCTCGCCTTTTCATAATATTCTAAATGTCCTTGGGTTGCTCGAAAATTCTGGAATGCTACTGAACATAGTAGCGGTATAACAATCAACCAATCAGAACCTCTACATGTGATGTTTCACATCCTTGATGTTTCTGGCTAAACTCCAAGTGAACGCTAATAGGATGAAATGCTTCTTAATGTTTCCTGATCCTTGAGTGTCTTTTGCAAGAACTTTTGTGGATCATCCCAACAGATAAGGAACCTTTTCTTATAAGTGCTACGCAGTATCACCTACGAAGCTATTCACAAAGCGATTGCTAACTGTAGGATTGGCTTTTGAATTTCGCTCATAAACCTAAAGTTCTACACTATAAAAATGTTTCTCGATCAGTACAATGACTCTATTCCTTTTAATCTTTCATTTGCATCTCTAGTTATTCTCTTTTTCTTTACAATATATAATTTCAATGTTTATTACACGATTAACTAATTTAGGATTGCTTAATTTACCCTGATTTTATTGTTGGCTATTAAAATGCATATATTATCATAAAGCATTAATCAAGGCGAGTTAGAAAGATATTTCTACGTCCGGTTCGTTCTTCATATATGTACTTTGCTTAAGCAAGCTTCTAATAACTTACGTATGCTGTATAAATTGTTATTTACTTAGTCAAGCGCATCATAGTGTGAAAAAACACCACAAAATGCACCTGACAAATGAAGCTACAAGATTGTAAAGAAATAAAAGAATGAAGGATAGCGCGGTCGATAAACAAATGAACAGAAACGTCACAAAAGATAAGACTTAGTTGAAAATAAAATCAATAAAGCTCATGCCTTTTTAAAGGATAAAAATCTACAGAAGGATCACCACTAGCTCGTACATTCATTCATATCTGTTAGCGCCTCAAGCTGCTGAACTGCATCATATCTAGAAGTCTATCTGGGAAATCTTGATGAACCGATAGATCTTAGTTTTAAGTTGCTATCTTTCATACCACATCTTCATATCGTAACCCAAATACTTCTCCGCTTTTCTTTCTCAGTTCGGAAAATAATGGGCAATATGGGAGCCACTGAGACGACATTCGTAATACATAATAGCAGTCGGTGTTTCAATAGTGCCACCAACTGAAATATCATCACTATCCCTGAACACATGCTCATGAATGTTGATAGTGAATGTGACCAATCATTCAGAACAAGAGAATCTGGACAGCTGTCCGAGGTACGAGAGCGTTGTTTTACTTCTCAACTGACCTGAAATGGGAACTAAATCAGCATTTATCTTAGCGACCTAAAGCTATGACTACAGAGCCCAAGTGATAAATGCTTAAGGTCAATCACACATGGTCTTTTTGTGAGAGGTTTTTGGTGTTTTAGTCCCGTAATTCAAAAGTCTCACCAGCGGAGACATCAATCCTTGCGTTGAAGTGAGGTGGGACGGTTTAGAGTAACATTTTATAAAAACTTCCTTTTGTTATGAGAAGGCAGCATCGCAGTAGACAATGGTTCCTCTAAAGAAACACTTTACTACTGTCACACCCCAGTACAGTTAACAGTAAGAATTCATTCTCGAATCTTAAGTTGCTTCTTTTGATCCCCAAGAAACATATGTTGCAGCCAGTTTGGCTCGGTTCAGTCGTTACGATAGGCAAACTTGACCACCACGTCAAGACAGCAACTGCAGCATAAGTGTAATTACATTTAGTCTTTTCGTGTTAACTAACTTTCTTACTATTTTCTAAATTATTCACAAACTTCTAAGAAATATGGTCTTGAATGGTTTCTTGAGCAACCGTATACATTCACCATGGATTTAATAAGTCAAGTATTGAATGGGAAACTGATTGTACAATTGACAAATTTCTTATCTAAAGTAAACGAACACATTGAACAATGTCAGGTAAGATTGTGTCATTTAATGTATTCGTAAATAATATCATTTTAACCTTTCGAATCCTAGTTTTGTGTGAGCTTACCTATATATGGAGGCCAGTAAATTTCAGTTATTGTACTTTTTGTGTAACTATTGTATTTGGATCTAACCAAATTATTCTACACCTTTTAGGTATGTGAAACTCACATTCCGAGTTATTGTGTAGTTTGCAATGAGGGGCCTACACGCCCATATCATATGAAAATGGCGTTTTGTAATCGATGTAATAAATCGTGTCATCGGTAAGCAGTATATTTTGTAATAACACATAGGCTACCGAATTTTGTTATGGTTTTTGTTGCGCAGATGTTTTCACATATCACCAGTCGAAAGAGCGTGGGTTCGAATCCCACCTCCAGCACAACCTTTTAAAGCCCCCGAATGCCCTAGTATGGCCGAGAGTGGGGAGAGTCTGCCCTCCCTCTCTAAATGCTCTCGCATAGCCACGCGTATATAGCCTCTGCCGGGGAAGTCCTACTCACTGCCTTCTTGTGGCGGGAGTGTTTACGAAGACGGGAGGACGAAAAGCGAATGTCCGGCGCTTTAACCGGATCCCAAATCAATGGTGCACATGGACTCCACTATCCTGAAGGAACAAATGGCGTATGAGCCAATTTCTTGGTCACCGGCTACTATGGGACTGCATCTCCTCACGATGCTCCACTGCCTTGTGGGTCAGACGTTCAGGTCAAAGGCTCGGGGTGTGGCCCCCTAAGAAAACCACCTGCTTCGGTTTGGGCACTCGGGCAGTATCACAGCCCTCACACATATCATTTATTTATTATTTATTTATTTTAACACATAAGTATAGGTACAGGGAGGCACCAAAATACATATGCGCCACACAAATTTCAATTGATTTGTGTGAGGGCTGTGATACTGCTCGGGTGCCCAAACCGAAGCAGGTGGTTGTCTTAGGGGGCCACACCCCGAGCCTTTGACCTGAACGTCTGACCCACAAGGCAGTGGAGCATCGTGAGGAGATGCAGTCCCATGGTAGCCGGTGACCAACGATTGGTTCATACGCCATTTGTTCCCGCAGGATACTGGAGCCCATGTGCACCATTGGTTTGGGGTTCGGTTAAAGCGCCAGACATTCGCTTTTCGTCCTCTCATTTTTGTAAACAACACCCCCGCCACGAGAAGGCAGTGAGTAGGACTTCCCTGGCAGGGGCTATATACGCATGGCCATGTGAGAGCATTTCGAGAGGGAGAGCGGACTCTCCCCACTCATATCAAATGAGATCTGTGTGTCGCATATGTATTTGGTGCCTCCCTGTACCAATATATATGTGTTAAAATAAATAAATAAATAGATAAACATGGTTGCTTGTTCTACTTATCATTTATTGTTTAATTACTTAACATGTGATGTAATTGTTTATGCACTCGACCCATCACTTTTGGTTTGTGAACCCTTATGTACTCCACCTACTTTAATCTGTATAATAAAGTTGTCACTGTTATATTTTATCCATCAGTCATGAACAATAGTTCCGAACAGAGATATGAACTTCCCTACGTGGTTTCATAAAAATAAGTCACAACGCAGACGATAAGAGATTAAAATTTCAAGATGACCTCATGACTTCGTTAACTTACTAACCATTGTTCGAGCGATAATTAGAGTATATCGATTTGTTGAACTTATTTAGGTTTCATGTTTGATATAATAACGTATGAAGACATGAACATCTGAAGGGAAGCACGGGATACAGTGGATAGCTAGGATGCAATTGGATGATCTAGACTTCGCAGATGATCTGGCTCTTCTATCGCATACGCAACAACAAATGCAGGAGAAGACAACCAGTGTAGCTGCAGCCTCAGCAGCAATAGGTCTCAATATACACAAAGGGAAAAGCAAGATTCTTCGATACAACACAGCATGCACCAATCCAATCACAATTGACGGAGAAGCTTTGGAAGATGTAAAAACCTTCACATATTTGGGCAGTATCATCGATGAACACGGTGGATCTGATGCAGATGTGAAGGCACGGATTGGCAAAGCAAGAGCAGCATATTTACAACTGAAGAATATCTGGAACTGAAAACAATTGGCAACCAATACCAAGGTCAGAATTTTTAATACAAATGTGAAGACAGTTCTACTGTGTGGGGCGGAAACCTGAAAAACTACGAAATCCATCGTCCAAAAGATACAGGTGTTTATTAACAGTTGTCTACACAAAATACTTCAGATCCGCTGGCCGGACACTATAAGCAACGACCTACTGTGGGAGAGAACAAATCAGATCACAGTGGAGGAAGAAATCAGGAAGAAGCGCTGGAAGTGGATAGGACACACATTGAGGAAAGCACCGAACTGCGTCACAAGACAAGCCCTCACATGGAATCCTCAAGGTCGAAGGGGGAGAGGAAGACCAAAGGATACATTACGCTGATAAATGGAGATGGATATGAGAAAAATGAACAAGAATTGGATGGAACTAGAAAAGAAGGCCCAGGACAGAGTGGGTTGGAGAATGCTGGTCGGCGGCCTATGTTCCATTGGGAGTAACAGGCGTAAATCTTGAACTATTGTAATCTGCAAACGCGAGGAAATCAGGCTGGCTTCAGACCTTGTCGTGGCTCCATCGACCAAATATTCACCATTCGTCAGATTTTAGAACATAGGCATTCTTGTCGGTATCCGATAATCGTGGTCTTTCTTGACTTAAAAACAGCATTTGACTCTGTAGACCGAGCGGTTCTGTGGCAGTGTCTGTCATTAAAAGGTATGCCTCAGAAGTACATAAACCTTGTGAAGGCTCTTTACTCGAACACTACTAATCGAGTGAGAGCTTATGGCGAACTTTCATCTGATTTCGCAACCTCAAGTGGTGTCCAGCAAGGCTGTCCACTATGTCCATTTTTCTCAATTTCATCATAAACCTACTGGTAGAAATAACGTTTTCATCTACTGAATTTCCGGTAATTTATCTGCTACCATGAGGTCCACTTATTGACTTAGAATACGCAGATGATATAGTTGTGTTTCGTGAAGACATTGATAAAATGCAGTGTTTTAGTCGCACTGAGCAACAATGCTAGGATGTTTGGGATGCGTTTCTTCCCTTCTAAATAGAAATTGTTGCTTCAGGACTAGCCTGCTTCGACATCTGAAGTAATCGGACGCGTCGACAATTTCACTTATCTTGGAAGTTTGATTAATCCTGAGAGGCGGTCGAACCAAAACGTGGCATCAGTCATTGCAGTCACTAACTTCTAGTCTGAGCAATGTTGGTAGATGCAGACTACTTGGTTGGGGTCCGCGTGACTATCGTAACTAATGGCTGGAGACCCTGGGTGACATGGCTGAGAATCGACCACAATGGCGTCGGTGTATACACTCTTTGTCTTCCCTTAAACCGTGAGATTAAAACTACTTTATATCTTTCTACGAACTAATTCTTTCTTCCTGTATTATATCTGTTATAACGCGAGTCCCGCCTATTAGAGAGCAGCAAATTATCGATCGGACTAAAGACACGTAAAACACATAAGAGCAACCTAGAGTTCTGATTGGCCCTGCTTCTCTGTCTAGCCCAGCCAGTTGAGTCCAGAGCACAAGTCTCAGCCTCAGCGATATGAATCGTTATATTTCAAACATACTGTTTATATACCAAACAAACAGACTACATCGTACCGTAAAATAGAAAGTAACATTTGTACAGGATTTGACCTCCAGGAAATGACACAAATGAATAATGACCAATAGGGAAATGACACGTTGGAAGAATATTGACCAATAGGGAAATGACACTATTTCTCACTCAGGAATAGCATTAGATTATTTCAGGGGTATTTTCTGAATACCCTAACAATATCCTTATATGCGATCTTTCCTTTATACATTACTATAATCGTCCATTGTACTGAGGTAGACACCTGTTTCTACCCGGATTAAGTGTCTAAATTACAGTGAGCAGATAAACAATACAGTTCTGATGAGAAGTCGTGACCAGTGGAGCTAATCCGTGTCGGGTAGAATCAGGTGTCTACCTCAGTACAATGGAAGATGGTCGCGCAACTTCGTGGATTGGTTGAGGTTATACATTAACACCATTGGATGCCGGCTCAGTGATCCAGTAGGTTAAGCGTTCGCGCGCGAGAATGAAGGCCCTGGGTTCGAATCCCGCGAGCGGGATCGTAGATGCGCACTGCTGAGGGGTCCCACAATAGGACGAAACGGCCGTCCAGTGCTTCCAGGTTTTCAGTGGTGGTCTACCGTCAATCGGTTCACGATCTCAATCACAAAAAATATTACAAGGACAAAGTGTGGGAGCGGATTGTGTCAGCCGGCCGATCAGTCACCGTTTAGAACCTGGTGTACATGTACATCGATTCAATTTGTCATGAACTGTTAGCACAGAGAGATGAAATTCTCACGACGAATTACAAAGTATTAAGTTTAGTAAGAGTATCACTGTACATTGAAAGGATTATAAGTCGAAGAAGCAACTTTAAAAGAAAATATATATTAATGAACAGAAACACGAAAAAGATTTATAATGTTGTAGGTAGTAGTTTTCTCAGTTTGGGTGGAGAATGCTCGTTCACGGCCTATGCTCCTCCACGAGGGGTAACCGACGTAAGTATATATATATATATATATATATATATATATATATAAATTTATACGAAATTATTATTGTGATTGTGGTGCTTGTATTCACGAAACCACAGGATCTTGTGTGAGTTGTGGGTTATAAAACAATGTTTACGAATTAATTTAATTACTACATTTTTGTTCAGGGGAACAATGAATGAACACGTACCAACTACTCGGACTGTTATTAATAAGATTTAATGTCACATAAAATGTCTCAATACTGCTTCGATGTTTGTTTACTCGCTTCTATGTAACCAAAAAAACAAATTAGGAAAAAGCAGAATATTGAAGCTACCTGAAATTATAATATACATGATAATTGTTTGTAACATAAAGAACAATGTAAGGTGTTATTTAAGGAGTATAGTCCAGTGGAATAGATTTAGAAAGAAAATAAAGGACATGAAGAATTCAGAAGATTAGAGTTTGAGAGAACACAGAGTGGATGCACGTGCGCCATTGCAAACGATTTTGAGCCATATCATTCAAGGTCGCTAACCATCGGTTGCTATCATCTCGCGGTTCCCAACCAGGTAGTCTATACCTACCAACATGACTCAGTCCACTTGTCAGTGACTTCACGGATTTCTGCCATGTTTTGGTCTGGCCACCTCTACCTTTCTTCCAACCTACTCCTACACCATAAAACATCGCACGTCGGGGCAGTCGGTGGTCGGGCATACGTAACACATGTCCCAACCATCTCAACTGATGAAGTTTCACTACTTCCTCAATTGATTTGCCATCCTTACCTAGTACCCGTTTCCTAACAACCGCATTACTTACTCGGTGGTCCCAGGATATACGAGCAATGTTTCGAAGACATTTATGATCAAATACTAGTAACCTACGAATATCCTCTACTCTTACTGGCCATGTTTCACTGCCATAAAGTAGGACGGAACGAACTGCTGCGCAGTAAACACGTCCTTTGGTTGATATACGGATATCTCGCCTACGCGATGTGATCTATTTGGGTCCAGCGTTGGAACGAATTAGGGGTTCGCCATGTTAAAAGATGTTTTCCTTATGCTTAAAGTTAGTGTTTGCAAGAAACAGGCGGTTATCTGAGCATAGCTGCAACAGACGGTCGCCGTTATCTGTTCTTTGAGCCGCGACACCATAAGACCCACCCAGGTATCTTTCCCTTTCGCTTAGTTTACCTACTTGAGCATTAAAGTCCCCAGCCACTATTACTACATCTGAACACCTAGATTTTCGGAGAAGGTCGGAAAGCTTTCTGTAAAACTCATCTTTTACATCATCTGAGCTGCAGTTAATGGGAGAGTAGGCAGAGACGACGAAGAGGCAACGACGAGTGTCCCTATCTTTTCGAGTCCTTACTGTTCCGTTTAGTCGGACAGCGTACAAACGACTGTCTACTGGGATCCAGTCTAAGAGAGCTAGTTCTGCCCTAGGACTCAATGCTATACCTACGCCAGCGAGGCCACGGGAAGCAGCATCAGGGCTTCCAGATACACGAAGCGTAAATCGAGTTGGTTCGTTACTTTGACATGGTGAGGTCTAATGAATGATACTACTAGGATCCTGTGTGCGCGTTTCGGAGACGCAGCACACATCGATGGAGCGAGATTCTAAAGTCCTAGCTAAGGAAGCCTGTTGTCCTATTTGGCACAGTGCTCGGACGTTGAAAGCTCCTACGTGTAGTTTAGAGCGTGGTTTCAGGAGACCAGGAATAACATTCCGCGTACTCGAATCGTTTGCACTAGCGGGGCGAGCTGATAAAGGGACGTGAGAAGGGTTGGTCGTGGAGATAAGAGAGTTATTAGGAGGTGTAGGAAGGATTTGAATGTGACCAACTTGGTCTCGTGTGCTGTTACGGGTATCAGGGATGATGTCACTTCCCGGCTGCCCACATCGTGGAATGGTATTTCTTGAGGGACCTGAAAAAGAAATCGGATTAGTGTTGGTCTTAGCGACCTGAGTGCGTGACCGCAGAGCCCAAAGGACAACTGCTTGAGGCCGGTCGCGCACGGCCTTTTTGTGGGAGGTTTTTAATGTGTTAGCTCCGTTCTTCAAAGGGCCTTGCCGCCGGAGACGGAAATCCGTGGGGTAAGGTGAGGTGTGACATTTTTAGGGCCAACCTTTTCTAACCCCTTCCTTCCTTGTGAGAAGGCAGCATCGCTGCAGATGCTGATTGTCCGAGGGAAACACCTTACTGCTGTAACAGCTCTGTACGGTCAGCAGTACGACTTCGCCCTCAGACCTTGAGTTGCTGCTTTTAGTCTTACCGTTCTCCAATCGACCTGCCTGGCATGGTAGGACCTGTAGGAACATGTGTTCCAGCCAATATAGCTCGGTTGGGTCATCACGATAGGCAAGCACGACCACCACGTCGAGGTAGCAGCTGCGGTCGTGTCAATCAGCACTAGTCGATATTTGCAGAAGACTAGAATCTTCTCATGTAAAATTTTACATATAATAATGTTTTTTTATTGTACTTTTTACTTCCATCTACTACTTTTATCTGGAATATAGTTTTGTTCCTGTTCAACCGTGTTCTAATTTGGGGACTTGTCGAGTTGGTGTCCAAGCATACTAAGTATTAGGAATAGCTGGGTCGTAATAAGAGAAAATTATAACAGTAGTATACTTCTCAGAGCTAATTTATCTTTTAGGGCAAACATAGTAGTCAATGTGATTTTTGAATATGATAGCAGTGGAGATCAGTCTTACATCATCGTCCTACGTTTTAAGTCTTGACAACTCATTTTAACTAGAGATGTTTATACGGCTTATCACCATCACCATCTCTACGTATGCGGACTGCATTGTCTAGGTTTATAACCAAAAAACTATTATTTTGAGAAGTTTGGTTGAAGAATACTAAATTGGTATTAATGGACTTCATTTTTACATATGTAATAAAACGAGCCCCCATATCGCAAACGTCGCACAAATTAAATGAGATTTGTGTGACGCATATGTATTTGGTGCCTCCTTGTACCAATATCTATGTGTTCAAATAAATATGAATAAAATTAACAAACAGGATTAATCGCTATATTTTCAACAGGTATGACAGTTTTCTGAACATTCAGTCATTCAAGTTGGGATTCTTATCAATCCTATATACTCCTTCAGAATCCTGTTGAATCTGATGTACCTGACTGGGACTTGGGCATCAGAAGCTAATAAGATGCTTTACAAGTGTAGTCTTAATACGTTTGTGTACTGTACCAGTAATTTGCTTTTCCGACTTAAATATGGTTAACGAAACTTTTATCCTCTCTATTTTTCTGCCCGCTAACTAGAGTAAACACAACAGTTTTGGAGATTACGCTTTTTGATGTTAATGCAGTGTAATCAGCTAAAAAACATTAAGTTTGTCAGTTGTTTTTCAGTGGGAAATGATTAGAATATATGAAAAGAAAAATCATCGTAAAAATCTGAAATTCCGTAAACTATCTTCAGTCTGAATAATAGTTTACTGAGGTAGAATTTTAACCTAATTGATATTGCTTTGTTTCTTCTAAGTTTGAGTTAGAGATCGTATATCCTCAACTGGCTTAAATTATAGTTTAGACGCAGTTCTGCACAGATTGTCCGACGTTGTAGGTGTGACTCAGTACGTACATCGTTACTAATATGAAAGAGTTTCAACTAAATTGTTTGATAATTCTACAATAAGTTATAGAGATATCTTTTCACTTATGCAAATGGAAATAATTAAAGCATTTCCGTCTCTCGATTTGAAAACTTGTATGAACTAATTATCTATACGATAAACCCCAACGTAATTTTTTCTATTCTTTTCTATGGAAAATGTCACAGATCTTGTTTGTCTGTGCCTTTACCCATCTCTCTGAAAGATACCCCATTCTATGTGGATGTCATCAGAACTTACGGACTATCCGAATTACATTTTGACTGGAATGAAGCTGAGGATGAGTGGATTGAAGTACTTTATCCCTCCTTATGTGTACTATGTAAACATTGTGGTTTGCACTGAATTAACATAATTGTTTAATTCGATGGACAAATTTTTCAGTCATATCCGTGTTATCCTAGAACACTGTTCTCATGCACTTACATTTTTCGACTGCATATTTTTCAAGATATCGCTGTGTAATTTCTTGATTCGATGAAGTTGTATATATTTAGGATAAACCTTCTTGTAGGTATGCATGAATATATAGCGTTTCGTCTGCTGAATTTTACATTTACTTTCACTGATTTCATATTGTTTTTCGTAACTGTACTTAAGAATTTTGATCTGATACACTCCAATAAAGTAAATATTATAACTGCCAGTAGACATTTTTTCGCATTTGTGAGTTCGATGCTGTCGCATTAAAGTATTTCACTTCATTATAAATCATGTGATCAGTGTTGACATTTCTGACAGTTTACATGCTTTCCAATCTAGATGCTAATAATGTTTTCATTGGAAACTATCCAGTTATGGCTGCAACATGTGATTCCTAATACTAAGTTATATACATTTGTATATTTATATATTTTCGAAGCTCTATCCACCAGTCACAGATTTTCAGTAGTTTTCGCTTAATATATATTAATTGTATTTATTATGAATCGCCCTCAAATGTCCTGGTTCGGCTGAGGTGGAGAGAGTTCGCTCTCCCTCTCGAATTGCTCTCACATGCCCACGCGTATACAGCCACTGCCAGAGAAGTCTGTAGTGGCTGTGCTTCGTTGACCAATCACCCTCGTAACCGTTATCGTATAAACCCCAACGGTAGTTGAAATCAGAAGGCAAAGAGAAGCAGCTACTACAGTTTTATTAGCAGGCAACTCAAACCACAGAGCAGAGAGACGAATGAGTCAGCGAACCGTGATTGTGTGAGAATGTGTGGAAATGTGTCGAGTGTTAAATATACACGTATATATATAGAAAAATGAATGGACCATCGAATCTATTAAGCGAATAATAATAAGATTAGTGGGATGAATATATGCGTGGACAGTCAACAATGTTCAAGCCTGCTTATTCATACAAGCATAACAATAATAAAGATAGAATAAGTTGTTAAAGCACAGATAACCTTGTCCGTTTAATAGGTTAACAAAAGGGCTTAAAAGAATTAGATGAGGGCAAACTCAATTGAACGTGAGTTGCTATAATAGCTCCCCCTGCAAACAAAGATATCTAGAAAAAAATGTCTGTGTTTGCACAAAAAATGGTAAACTGAATAGAGGAGTTACAATTGCTTGGAGGAAGTTCTTATACAAAATTAAGATGAAGCTAAATGTGTTGTGTATGTGGTTTGTGCTTGTCCGTGAGGCTATATAAAATAATAGTAGGGAATAGAAGGAATGTGTTATCGTCTTTTTTTTTTTACATATAAGTAGGGTACATAATATATGCCTAGTTTTATAGTGTATAATATAAGCTTAATAATCTATATGTATACAATGAAGGGGAAGAGTTATAATTAATATTCAAAATAATGGTAAATTATCAATAGAAAATTGTAGCGATGTAGCGTTGGGGCCATCTTACTCTGCGGCCAGATCTCATTGTTACTGGAGTCTCGTCTTTTTGCTGCGTTAGCGTCGTTGATTCTTGAGACTCGTGTTTCGTTGGTGTGACAATCTTCGAGGATTTTGTATTTGTTGACTGAATATCGCCATCGATGAAAGCTGGTTTCACTCTATCGATGCTGATTACATCTGTTTTCCCAGCTTTTTCTATGGTAATCGTTTTATCTGTCCTCGCTGTCACTTTAAACGGACCGTCGTAATTCGGTTGCAGGGGTGGTTGTACTTTATCTCGTCTAATGAATACATGAGTGCTTTTGTGTAGCTCCTGAGGTATAAATACCTATCGTTGTTGAGGTCTGGGGGGTGTTATTTTTAAATCGTTCATGTGCTTTCTCAAGCGTTGTACGTAGTTGGTTACATCAGTCGGAACACATTTATTCGAAGTGAAAAATTCTCCGGGTAACCGTAGAGTAATTCCGCATACCAACTCGGCTGGACAACATCCCATATCTTGTTTAATTGTTGCTCTTAAACCTAACATTACTAGAGGAAGCTTATTGGCCCAATCATTGTTAACAATGACGGATGTAAGAGATGCTTTTAATTGCCTATGTAGGCGTTCGACCATTCCGTTTGCCATTGGGTGGTAAGATGTCGTTCGAATTCGTTTAATACCGAGGAGTTCTGTAAGCTGTTGAAAGAGTCGACTTTCGAATTGAGCTCCTCTATCAGTTGTGATGATCGCTGGTACGCCGTAGTAAGAAATCCAATTTTCAACTAATGCTTCGGCTACCGATTCGGCTGAGGTATCTTTTATCGGTACTGCCACCGGCCATCGAGTAAACCTGTCAATGCATGTAAATATATAATTGTATCCATTCGAAACCGGCAGTGGTCCTACAATGTCGATGTGTATATGCTCAAATCTGGTATCTGGGTGTGAAAATGGACCCACTGCGGAGCTAGTGTGACGATGTACTTTGACTTTTTGACTCTTTATGCATGCCTGTGTCCAATTACGTACATCGTGGTTCATGTTTGTCCATACAAATCGTTCACTGATTAGTTTTATCGTGGCTTTTATTCCGGGATGCGACATATTGTGCATACTTTCAAAAATTTTCTGTCGCAACGATGTCGGGATAAATGGTCGCGGTCGGCCTGTCGATGTATCACATGTTACTTTCGTGTTACCGAACCGCACCTCTTCGAGCACTAGTGATGTCGTACCCTCAGATCTGAGCTTCTTTAATTCAGTGTCTCTCTTTTGCAACTTTGCTAGACCATTATAATCGATCCCACTTGCCATAAGTGCGTTTATCATTGCTCTGGACAGTGCGTCAGCTACGTCGTTTTCCTGTCCTTTAATATATCGTATGTCGGAAGTGAACTATGAAATGAATTCTAACTGCCGGATCTCTCTCGGGGCATAATTGTCTTGTTTTGCACTTAATGCTTTAGTAAGTGGTTTGTGGTCTGTGTAAACGGTAAAACTTATACCTTCCACCATATGACGAAAATGTTTTATGGCTAAGTAAATTGCTAGTAGTTCTCTTCCAAAAGTACTGTACCTTGTTTGTGTAGGGTTCAGTCTTTTCGAACAAAGTGAGAGCGGTTCCCAAGTGCCGTTTACTAACTGCTGTAAAACGGCTCCTGCCGCCACATCCGATGCGTCAGTCATGATAGCTAGTGGTGTTTCACTCTTTCGTCTAGTTAATGTCGTTTCTTTGTTTAATGCTTTTTTGGCTTGCTCGAATGCCTGTATCGCCTCTGGTGATAATTGGAATGTCCGGGCGTGTCCTCTTAACGAGTCAGTTAATGGTTGCAATATCGCCGCACAATTCGGGATAAATCGTCTGTAGTATTTTACTAACCCGAGGAGCCGTCGTAACTTCTTCCATGAGTCGGGTAGCGGATAATTTTTGATGGCGTCGACTTCTGTTGAGACCGGTGTAATGCCTTGAGAAGTTACGTGACCTAGGAATTGCAAGGATTCCTTTCCAAATTCACACTCCTCAATGTTTATGGAAACGCCATGTTCTCGCAGTCGCATGACTAATTGTCGTAACTGTTGTATGTATTCATCCTTAGTGGCGCTGGCTACCAGTAAGTCATCGATATATGCGTAAACTCCAGGTAAACCTCTGATGACCTGGTCGATAAACCGTTGAAAGGTTTGCGCTGCGTTAGTCAGTCCGAAAGGCATGCGCAGAAATTCGTACAGTCCAAATCGGGTCGTTACCGCTGTCTTTGGTATGTCGTGTGGAGCAACAGGAATGTGATAGTATGCTCTAACTAAATCGATCTTTGAGAAGATTGTAGCGCCTGCTATGCTGTAAGTAAAATCGTGGGTATGTGGTATAGGATATCTATCGGCTACTGTTTGTTTGTTAAGTGCTCGGTAGTCTCCACATGGCCTAACTTCGCCATTCTTTTTCGGGGCCATATGCAATGGGGATGCCCATGGGCTGTTCGAAGGCCTTATAATGCCCAGTCTCATCAACTTGTCGAATTCCTGTTTTGCTATTGCTAGTCTTTTTGGGTCTAATCTTCTTGGCCTTGCATTGATTGGTGGTCCATTCGTTATGATATGGTGCTGAATGGAGTGTTTGAGATCTGTCTTATTGTACGTTACTTTCATGAGTTCAGGAAATTCCTTTAACAACAATTTGTATGGATCACCGTGGCTTTTATCTATCACTAGATTCATGGAAACGGCTTCTGTAAGTGTTACTCTTATCGAAGTGGTGTGACTACCATTTATAAGTCTGTGACGCCGCAAGTCTACTAGCAGATCGAAGTTACATAGGAAATCGATGCCAATTATGGGCACTGATACATATGCTATGACAAAGTCCCAGCGCTATGAAGCGCCTCGTCCGAAATCTAGGGACAACTTTCGTTTGCCGTATGTCTTAATGTCTGATTTGTTTGCTGCTCTTAACACTAGTGACGCATTAACATTTCTTCTCTCTTCGCTTACGGGAGGTACTACGCTGATTTCCGCTCCAGTATCAACTAAGAATTGAGCACCTGTCGTTCGATCCTGTATATAAAACAGGCGGCTATTTGCAGGCATTATGTTCTTTGATGCCGTTGCCATTGACAATCGTGGGTATCGTTTACCTGTTATGTTAAATCTACAAGGTTGTAAACATTTCCTAGCTCTATAGCCATACATTTGATGATACCAGCATATCAAAGGAGCTGTGCGTCCTCTGGAAGCTGATCGATTTCTGACGCGCGAGCAATCACGTGATGATCTTCGTGATCCTATTTTGCTCTGTGTTAATTCTGTGAGCTTGCGGCACTAAACATCTACCTCTTTCTGTAGAGTACTAAGTCTATCATCTACCGTCATGTTGTGTAATGGAGGGCTTGTTTGTTTGGTTCTTTCGTATATTCTATCGGCTATTTTTGCTATGTTGTCTATATCGGCGTCCGTATCTCCGACGGCTAGGATCTGTTGTACACTTGACGGAAGTCGCCGAAGCCACAGTTGATAAAACAGGTTATTGTCTATTTTCCTATCGACCAACAGGCTTTTCATATGCGTTTTTAGCTGTGATGGGGTTCTATTTCCCATTTGTACTTGGTTAAGAAGTTTTTCGACAGCTTGTTGGTCACTTAGAGAGAGTTTTAATTACTGCTTGCTTTAGTACATCGTACGGCTTCTCGATGTCTGGTTTCGCTAACGCCTCTCGTACACTATATGCTACTTCGTCTGGAAGGAGTGTGCTTGTGAGACCGAATTTATCTCTTTGTAAGTGAATGCGGTTAGCCAAAAAATAATTTTCAAGTCTAATGAATCAAAGTTTTGGGTCGGTGACATTAAAAGAGGGGGGCAGGAAGATTAAGAGACCTCACGGACTGGGTTTGCTGTAAACTTGATATAGTGTTTTCGGAAGACATGTTTATAAAAAAATTAGGTAGCACACGAATATAATGTAACTGTCATAAAGAAAAATGGACGGACAAAAACAATAATAATTAAAAAATGGTACAATTTATAACATAGAACAGACTTA